ACATAGGGATGTGTGAATGTTTTAGTGAGGGAGCCGAAGAAATCCTTAGCAATATTTATCTCATTCTGATGCCTGTATTTGGTTGGAATAAGTTTATATTATTCTTTGCACTGAATGTTTAGCAAAAATTATTAAGTGGAAATAAGTTATTTGATGTATGTAAATGATGAATGCACTGCGGAAGGGAAAAGCTATGAGGGAGAACATCATGTTTCATATGTGTCTGTCTTGCAAATTTGCTGAAAATTAGAATCAAACTCTATGTTAATAAGGCAGGTGAGCCAGTTGTTTTCTGTAAAAGAAATTCCACAACAGAGGAAAGGCTGAGGATGTTGGCTCCTATTAAGAGGCAGGTGGATTACGGCCAACATGGTGAAACCCCGTCTCTACTAAAAATACAAAACTTAGCTGGGTGTGGTGGTGCACACCTGTAATCCCAGGTACTCGGGAGGCTGAGGCAGGAGAAACGCTTGAACTTGGGAGTTGGAGGTTGCAGTGAGCCAAGATCATGCCACGGCACTCCAGCCTGGTGACAGAGCTAGACTACGTCTCAAAAAAAAAAAAAAATATATATATATATATGTATATATAAGAATATAAGACATATTTCCCAGCTGTCACTTTTTAAGGGATTGCCTTAAAGAAAACTGACCTTCCCAAGTTCATTCCTTCTTCCAGAGGCAACCCATATAAAATAACTGGTCAAAACGTGTCATGCAAGTCACCCTTGCCTCAAATAGGGACGGTTTCGTCTGGTTTGTTGATTGTGTCATTTCTCCATTTTTCTGTTTGATGTTTGGCTCTTCCGCCTTCAGTGGTTCTTTACATATTGGCGATATTAGCCCGTTGTCTGTACTGTGTGTTATGAATATTTTCTCCTATTCTTGTCAGTTGCATTTTGACTTTGTTTACAATATATATGACTTATATATATATTTTAATATTGTGTAGACAGATTAGTCAGTCATCAAGAGGAATTCATCCATTTCCTTCTGATACTTTTATGTTTTCAATTTTATTTAGATCCCCAATCCATTTGGGGTTTATTCTTGTATTGGGTGTTAAGGAAAGGATCGTATGTTGTTTTTTTTTTTTAATTTTTTATTGGATTATAGGTTTTAGGGTACATGAGCAGAGCATGCAAGACAGTTGCATAGGTACACACATGGCAGTGTGCTTTCTTTTCTTCTCCCCTTCACCCACATTTGGCATTTCTCCCCAGGCTATCCCTCCCCACCTCCCCCTCCCACTGGCCCTCCCCTTTTCCCCCCAATAGACCCCAGTGTTTAGTACTCCCCTTTCTGTGTCCATGTGTTCTCATTTTTCATCACCCACCTATGAGTGAGAATATGCGGTGTTTCATTTTCTGTTCTTGTGTCAGTTTGCTGAGGATGATGTTCTCCAGATTAATCCATGTCCCTACAAACGACACGAACTCATCATTTCTGATTGCTGCATAATATTCCATGGTGTATATGTGCCACATTTTTCCAATCCAGTCTATTATCAATGGGCATTTGGGTTGATTCCAGGTCTTTGCTATTGTAAATAGTGCTGCAATGAACATTCGTGTACATGTGTCCTTATAGTAGAACGATTTATAGTCTTTTGGATATATACCCAGTAATGGGATTGCTGGGTCAAATGGAATTTCTGGAGACAACAGATGCTGGAGAGGATGTGGAGAAAAAGGAACACTTTTACACTGTTGGTGGGAGTGTAAATTAGTTCAACCATTGTGGAAGACGGTGTGGCGATTCCTCAAGGCCTTAGAAATAGGATCGTATGTTTTTAAATGATGATCTAGATGATCCTGCACCAATAACAATCATTCCATTTGTACCTAGTTGTTTCAGATGACATCTTTGTCATAAACTGAATTACCGTATATATTTGGATCTAATTCTGGACTTTTTGTTCGATTCCACTGGTCTAGTTGTGCACTAATACCACTTTATTTTAACTACAGAGCTTTATAATATCGTTTGGAAGGGCCTGTGCTCCTTCATGGTTTTTACTTTTCTTTCTTTTTTTCCATCTGAACTATCAGCTTGTTTCAGGCTAATACCGTTCTAACGGTCGTTATCTCTACTGTACTTTATATCCTGCGACAATACCACAAACGCGCACACAGTGCTTACGACTCACCAGGAACCATTCTAAATGCTTTCAGGTGTTAACTCATCTAAACATCGAAATCACCCTTTGAGAATGGCAATATTATTCGCATTTAACCCTTTGAGAATGGCAATATTATTCGCATTTTTAAGTGAAGAAACTGAAGTATGGAGAGCTTAAATCCAAAGTAGAGATGGAATTCCAATTATGCCAGGAAGCCCATGTTTTTAAACACTTGACCTTTCTCTCTGTGGATCTGTATAACCTCCAAGCTAACTTTATCTTTGACATATGTGTATAAGATCTGGGGAAGTCACAGTCGCTTGGAGCAGCTGGATTTTCCCGAGACTCTATGTCTGGCTCCAGGCGAGAACTCTCTGGGTGCTGATGGGCTGGAGCTGCACGCAGTACCATACCAAAGGGTCGGGGGGGGGGGAACCACAGGTAACTAGTGAAAACCCCTGAGGACAAACTTGAGGTATTGACTTCTCCTGATGCCAGGCCTGACTGCTTATTATTGAATGGGGGATATTATGGTGAGAGGAGTGGAATTAGCCAGGAGGAGCTTAGGAAAGCACACATCATGTGAAGGGGGCTTGGCAAAGCTTTCTCCTAGGAATTTGCATGTTTGTGATTCCCATTAACAAGATGAAACTTCTAACCTCACTTGACATACTAGTCACATATTAGACAGTGGATCACTCCTTCCTTCTGGAAACACTTTCTGCTCTTTCGGGATACACCTGCTCTTGATCTTCCACTTGCTCACCCAGTCCCTTTCTCTGGTTCCTCCTTGTTTTCCTGCGATAAAACATATTGTGTTTAATGCTCCCTTCACTGGAATCGCTCTCCCACAGATGGGCTTTCTTTGCTTAATCTCCATCATCTTTCCTTGAACCGACTTTCTAAGGTCTTGCCTGACTGCCTCCATTTGAAACTGCAGCCCTTCATGGTTCCCCCCACCCTTCTCCGTTATACTCATCTTCAAAACACTTACGAAGATATTACCACCATGCTTCTTGTATTTGTCAGTTTTCTTTCTTCTCCACTAGAATGCAAGCTCAATGCTGTGATGATTTTATGGGTGTGTATTTTTGTGTATTTTGTTCCAGTACCTAGAACAATGCCTGGTGCATAGTAGGTGCTAATTATAAATTTGCTGAATGGATAAATGAGGAAGAAAACCTTGAAAATATGCAACATGTAAAACAGGTGAAAGTTGGCTTCATGGCTGTGGTACTACCCCTCAAGGCAAGATGGCTAATGATGTGATAATCTGATGAGCAGGCGCTTATTGAGCCGTCCTCTTGTAGATCATAATTTAAAATCACAGTGAGTACAAAAGCACACACAGAGGCACATATGTAGTATTTATTCCTCTTGTAGTTTAAGCACCATGGCTAAGAGATATGCAATTGTGTGCGGTGAGTAGAATCCTGAGGTTCTTGTATCTAAACCTCCATCTGCTCCGGCTCTGTAAAAGACCAGTCTGTAAGAATAAGTCATACATTAGCAAAAGGAACAATTTGTAGAGGATAAAAATGAAATGTTCCTGCTATTTTTTAAAAAAAATTACGGGCAGTACTATGTGATTACCATGAGAAGGCAGAACTATTAGAATATATTTGATTTATTCCACTTTATGCCTAAGTAAACTATGTCAACTTTACAAACTATCCTACAAACTAAGTACGAGGTGATGCTGGGCCATGTTAATGTTACTAAGGGCGTCGTGACATTTTCCCTTGAGACCTGACACTCATTATTCCCTGAAACCTATAATAGTGGTTCTACGTTTTTCAGAGTAGAGTGTGATTAACAGAAAGCTTGTGGGGGAAAAATAAAGCTTTGAAGAAAATCAGTCAGAAATTCCACACGGTGCTTCCAAAATCAATGTATTTATAGAGATTTACACTGTTTCTTCATATTCTGTCCTACCTATTAATTCTAAAGTAATGCATGTCTAAACAGGATGGAGATTATAAAAAATGAATATTATCATTGTTTTTAAGAGAACGATTCTAAAAATTTTTGTTATTTAGAAATGTATAGTATATACATGCTGGTAAGACATATTACAAGTTGTTTTCTAGTAGAAGAGATGGAAAATGCTAAGCCGTGGATCTCCAAATTCCGTTGGCTGAACTGATCCCTTTAATAAACATCATCACGGCCAAACATCATATTTTACTCAGTGTAACAAAATAGGAAGATTCAAATATATTCTAATTTTTCTGCCTTCTTATGGAAATAACAGAATATCTTGCACAATCAAAACCAAACCAAAAGCTCATTCTCATAAACCCTAACTAATCTAAATAAAATATAATATAATCCACCTGCATAAAACACAAGAGTTAGGGCTCAGAAAGAGGTAAATAAGCCCCTTGTATCTGACAATGATCTACTTTGAGGAAAGTACATTAGCTATGTGGTATATTTTCTAAGGCTTCTAGATTCACCTGACCTTTCTTAAAATCACTGACAGAGCTTAAATAAGAAATTGCTAAAATCATTTTTTTATCCAGTTCCTAATGAGGCTGCTAGAAATACTCCCAAATTTTAGAATCCTTATTCATTTGCGGAAACATTGACATAATAGACGTTTTCCCGAGTTTTGAGATGAGATTGATTCAAATGATATGTCAGATCTGAAGAAACGTACTTCCCTTTAAGGTGGACATCCATTCTTTTGACACAAACCACTCAAATCGGTTTCCCTGATGACTGTTGAGGTCCTGCTATTGTTAATGTAAATGTGAATAAGTCAACGCTAGGGGAATACCCAGTCATAAAATTCTAACAGCCCCCAGAATTAATCTTATTTCTCTCTGCCTGTCTTCAAGGTTATCCCGATAACATATGGGAAAAGTGGAGATTAATAATATTCAAACATTTTAATCAAGAAGTCTCCTTACTCTATTTTATCATTAACAAGTAACAATAACAAGGATCAAGTAGTAACAAGAAATTCTTCCTCCTTTTTTTTATTTGAGACGGAGTTTCGCTCTTGTTACCCAGGCTGGAGTGCAATGGCGCGATCTTGGCTCACCGCAACCTCCGCCTCCTGGGATCAGGCAATTCTCCTACCTCAGCCTCCCAAGTAGCTGGGATTACAGGCACGTGCCACCATGCCCAGCTAATTTTTTGTATTTTTAGTAGAGACGGGGTTTCACCATGTTGACCGGGATGGTCTCGATCTCTTGACCTCGTGATCCACCCGCCTCAGCCTCCCAAAGTGCTGGGATTATAGGCTTGAGCCACCGCGCCCGGCCAGAAATTCTTCCTTCTATATAAAGCAAACACCTCGTGGTCTTGCTTTTACCTCCTTTTCTTCTTGATTCTCTACTGCAAAAAATCTAAAATAAATGTCATTAAACTCAATTACATAAAAGATTCAACATGTCCAGAATCCACAGTTGATAATGGTGTTGGAGGTACTGAAGCTGGATAATTAAACAATTTATTTTGGTTCTCATTCAAGCATTTAGCACTATAAAAGCACACTTGAGTCTTCCAGAAAAAAAAGTGTGTTTCTTCAGTGCTACTTCGACAATCTTTCTGTTCACATATTGTTGAGGGCCTACTAAGTCCTTCTAAGATTTTTCTTTTCATATATTGTTGAACACCTACTAAATAATTGCAATAAAAACTAGGAACAAAAATACCTGGTGTCTACATTCACAGCCAATATTTTGGAGCCTTCTGGTGGTAAATGCTTGATTTGGAAGGATTTGAAAGGAATACAAGTGATTGTCAACTCAGGAGGAATATTACATTTTTTTTACCCTTCTTTCTTTCCCTCCTTTCTTCCTTCCTTCTTTCCTTCCTGCCTTCATCTCTGTCTGTCTTTTTCTTTCTTTATTTCTGACAGTCTTGCTCTGTTACCCAGGCTGAGTGCAGTGGTATGAACGTGGCTCATAGTAGCCTCAAATTCCCAGGTTCAGGCAATCCTCCTACCTCGGCCTCCTGAGTAGCTGGGACTATAGGCATGCACCACCATGCCCGGCTCACTTTTTAAATTCTTCGTAGAGATGGGGGTCTCAGTATGTTGCTCACGAGGGTCTCAAACTCCTGTACTCAAGTAGCAATACTCCCACCTCCCAAAGTGCTGGGATTACAGGCGTGAGCCACTGCTCTCAGCGCATACTTTCTTGACCTAGCTAAACCATTGAATTCCCCATATCATTAAATGTCTCTTCAGTCTGCAATGCCGAAACATTCCTTTATTTGCTAGGTTTAACATAGAGAGGAGATGGGTCAGAAGGCAATCCTAAAATTTCATCACCCTCCCTATATTTCTGCGCTCCCTTTCCCTAGCGCCTTCTTCACGGCCTTTTTGACATCGTTATTTCTCAGTGTATAGATCAGGGGGTTAACACTGGGAGTGACAATTGTGTAGAAAAGAGTGAGAAACTTGCCCTGGTCCTGGGAATAAGTGTTTGCTGGCTGGAGGTACATGTATATGATTGCACCATAGAAGAGAGAGACAACAGTGAGATGGGAGCTGCAAGTGCTGAAGGCTTTCTTCCGCCCAGCAGCTGACTTGATCCTGAGCACTGTTCCTGCGATGTAACCGTAAGAAACGAGAGTGAGGATCAGTGGTGCCAGGATGATAAAGACTGCCAGGGCAAAAGCCAGTGCCTCAAGCCTCATGGTGTCTACACAGGCCATGCCAATTAGTGCTGGCATCTCACAGAGAAAGTGGTCCACCCGTCTGTGGCCACAGCGGGGTAGCATCAATGTCTGGGGTGCCATGATGAGGGAATTTCCAAAGCCACTCAACCATGCCACTGAAGCCAGCTGTCCACAGAGACGTGGGTGCATGATGACAGTGTAGTGCAGGGCTTTGCAGACTGCAGCGTAGCGGTCATATGCCATGACCGCCAGGAGGACACACTCTACGCCTCCCAGGGCCAGGACAAAGTACAGCTGGATGGCACAACCCACATAGCTGATGGTCTTATCTGGGCCCCAAAGGTTGTAGAGCATCTGAGGGACGGAGCCTGTGGTGAAACACATGTCCAGGAATGAGAGGTTTGCTAAAAAGAAATACATTGGTGTGTGCAGCCGGGAATCCAGAGCTGAGAGCAAGATGATGGTCACGTTGCCAACCAGAGTCAGCAGATAAAAGATGAGGACGACCACGAAGAGGATCAGCTCTAGGTGGGGACGGTCAGAGAAGCCCACCAGGATGAAGCCTTCGAAAGAACTCGTATTGTCCTTTTCCATCACCTGTGGCTACATATCACCTGTTGAGAGAAAGATGAGTGCCGGTGAGTAGCACAGATCTAATCCTTCGAAATCGAGTGACTGGTAAAATAGTAGAATGGAAACTTCCTTGGATATGTGGGATGCTTAACCCAAAATTTTAATAGGTACAGACTAAATCATTATTCGGTCTGAGGAGCACAGTATTTGGGAGGGTTTTTTTTTTTTTTGGCTCCTGGCTATGGTGATTTACCAACATTTTGTGTGACCTTTTTTTTTTTTGAGACAGAGTCTTGCTCTGTCACCCAGGCTGTAGTGCAGTGGCGTGATCTCAGCTCACTACAGCCAACCTCCACCTCCTGGGTTCAAGTGATTCTTCTGTCTCAGCCTTCTGAGTAGCTGGGACTATAGGCGTGTGCCACCATGCCCAGCTAATTTTTGTATTTTTAGTAGAGACAGGGTTTTACCATATTGACCAGGTGGTCTCAAACTCCTGACTGGTGATCTGCCCGCCTCGGTCTCCCAAGGTACTGGGATCCCATCACTTTTTTTCCAATTAGGCAGGATGTAAAAAATTACTTTCAAAAGCTGAGGGATTAACACTCAGAATTTTCAATTTTTTAAAATGGAGAAGTAGCAGATTTTTCTAGCCATACATGAACCTTGGATAGACAAAGTGGTTTGGGCTGGGTGTGGTCATTTGCGCTGGGCGTGGTGGTTCACCCCTGTAATCCTAGCACTTTGGGACGCCAAAGTGGGTGGATCACTTGAGGTCACGAGTTCAAAACCAGCCTGGCCCACATGGTGAAACCGTATCTCTACTAAAAATACAAAAAAATTAGCTGAGTGTGCTTGTGGGCGCTTGGAATCTCAGCCACTTGGGAGGCTGAGCAATTCTTATTATTGCTTGAACCCAGGAGGTGGAGGTTGTAATGACCTGAGATTGCATCACTGCACTCCAGCTTGCGCGACAGAGCCAGACACAGTCTCCAAAACAAACAAACAAACAAAAAAAGAAAACACTTCATCTACTTCATTGTTAAAAAAAGAGAAAAAGAAATAGTGGTTTGTATCTCTGCATCAGAGAGCCAGGCTTGCTATTAGGTGAAATCTCATTCTAAGTATTGTCTCATCAATACTGGGAAACCTAGAGTCATATATAAACTCAACAGGGAGCAAGTGACCAAGCAGAATTTTAGGAAGGAGATTGCTTCATTACTATTCCCATCCGCCTCTCCGATCCTTTTATCTGATTTAGTTCGCATGACCCTGACATGCATGTGTCAGACAAGACAGCAATGAGAAGCTCACATCATCACCTCAGTATCCTCAGCCTGTCCAAAGCCTCTGTGATAAAAGTGTGTTTTACATCACCGAAGTGTATTTAAACCCTGGAATGGAGTGACTTTTCTGATGTTGGGAATGCTTTTGCATACAGATGGAAAAGACAGAAACAAGGCGATTCCCCAAACTCAATCCCAATGGAAGTAATATTCAGCATTTTATTCTCACAAAGAATCCACTTTGAATGTTTTATTTAGCTGATTCCTATGATCTCATAGAACAAAAATATTTTGTTCTTTACATTTTCAATTACTTGATGGTGATTTTAGGTCTTAAGGTGAATGTACTCTATAATGTTAATTAACTAAAGGGAGAGTCCCACCTACTAATATTTTGAATATTTTTCAAACTAAGTAGTTAGTAAAAAGTAATAGTATTGTGACTTCTTTTTTTTGAGATGGAGTTTCGCTCTTGTTACCCAGGCTGGAGTGCAATGGCACGATCTCGGCTCACCGCAACCTCCGCCTCCTGGGTTCAGGCAATTCTCCTGCCTCAGCCTCCCAAGTAGCTGGGATTACAGGCATGCGCCACCATGCCCAGCTAATTTTTTGTATTTTTTTTTTTTTAGTAGAGACGGGGTTTCACCATGTTGACCAGGATGGTCTCGATTTCTTGACCCCGTGATCCACCCGCCTCAGCCTCCCAAAGTGCTGGAATTACAGGCGTGAGCCAGGGCGCCCGGCCCATATTGTGACTCTTAAAAGTGAATCTTCTGTATCTCTCAGTTATGTAGAGGCTCCAAATAGGGTTCCGATCCACTGTTATAAGAGCGCTTTCCCGTAATTAAATCATGTTATGGCTCGTGTTCGCAGCAACAGCTTTAAGGTTTTATACATTAAAACGTTGACACTTAATTTAAGTCACCACAGTCTTTGCAGAACTGTGATTGGCAGTGACTGTCTCATTCCACAGTTATCATAACCAGCGTTTTCCCTGTGACTTATGCGTATGAATGTCTACGGACCGTGAAGTAGAATGCCATAAACCAAAGTTGTTTTATTTATTTTTCTTCTTTCTCAAATCAACCAGGGATTATTAACTAGGATTATCCTCACAATTTTTTCACTCTGATTCAAAGTGGTTAAGCCATGTATTCACTGCCTTTCTCCTTACATGGCGACATCAATTCAATCATTACTCTTCCTTATCAAGCCCTTCCTTTGTGAGGACTGCATTCCTGTGTTTATGGACTTTAAATAACTAATGCATAATTTCTTTGTGTGCCAGGAATGTTATTTTAAATGATATGTGTATGTCTATTCATATTCGAATTCAGTAGAATGGCTTCTAAACAGGGTGACATGAACGTTTTCTCACAAGAGCCATACATATTAACTATTTAATTAGTGATGCAGTTGATAGATTCTGGCATTTAAATGTGTTACTATTGTTTTAGAAAACAAGACAAACTTGTCTTCTTGAGTAACTTCTGTATCCATGACCAGGTAATTTAAATTTCACAATATTTTTTAAAAACGGAACCAAATAATATTCCAATGCCAACTATTAGCTAATTAGCTTATAAAGAACCAGAATGGGGATTTACTGCTTAGAGAGTTTGGAGGAATGGGTTATGAAGTCCCAGGGTTAGGAAACATGTGGACACACTTCATAGCTAGACAGGCTGCTCATTCTGTACCAAATGGAAAGCGAGGTAAATTCAAAGTCATAAGAAACCCAGAAGAACATTGTATGTTTCTTTCACTGACTCTCCATGTTGGGGTTCAAAGTCCCAGTTTCAATACTTACCACTCACAGTTACTGAGAGCTCATTATTCAACATACTCTCATGCGGTGCTGAACCACAGTTCATAATTTTATTCTTAAGATTTTCCAGTTCAGTATGTTCTACTATCTAAATTAATATTTTTGGTAAGAACTCCACTAACGAGCTCAAAAATTTCTCTCTAGCTTCCGCCCAACATTAATGATATTAAACCACAATCTTTATAATTCGACCACATCTATGTAAACAAAGTACATAGACAGACTGTGAGGTATTGGCATAATACATGTAATTGTCCGTGGTTTTGGCCATAGCCTCAGGTTGTAGGGAAACCAGATCCTCAGGTAGTTAAGAGGCCGTGGTCACATTTCTTGCCACAAAGGGTCATTAACTTACCAGATGTGACTGCGACCTCAGAAACGCCACGTCTGTGTTGCTTTTCTTTCTTGGGACTTCATGTGGAAGTCCAGGTGGGATGACCAGAGTGCAGACAAGGGGAGGAGAAAGATGACATTTAGAAAATCCAAAAGAATGGGAGAAGGACAAAGGGGTAATAGGACCTACCAGAGCTGAATCTGAGTGGATGAAGAGAGAATGTTGGTGAGCACACAGTAGTTACATCACCTGAGGTACAGCAATGAGGTACATCCACATACTCACCTCCCAGCCCCAGATAAGGAGCCGGATAAGGAGCAGCATGAGGGAAGCTGGAGGGTCTCCAATGTACCCCCAGTGTAGGAAACAAAGACTCAAGCCTGAGAAAGGAGATCTCCAGGTTTCCGAGCTGATAAGGGATTGGATACTTCCTTTTCTGATCACCCCATGGAGTAAAACTTCCTTTTCAAAAACTCCCTTCACTAATTATCCCTAACAAGGTTTGGGAGAGTGTATGGTCTCAGAGGAAATACCACTCTTTCCAGCACACACACACCCAGGAGGGAGACAAGAGACAGTACTGAGTCTTCACTGAGTCTGTTTTCATCATCAAGACCAGTACTTGGTAATAAGCATAAAGGTACCAAAAGTGGCCACTTTCTACTTAGTAGAGAGCAGAACCTAGAGTTACAGAAAAGATGTACCAGGATATACGTGTGCTTTGGTTTCTTTTTGTGGACTATATATATCCTCTACCACTTGCTCAGTACATGTACTGCAAAGAAGTGCTATTATAAAGTGCTTTTATCATTTTGTTTACTTAAGATTAATTTTCGATGCAGTTTTAAGATCCTTAATAAAGTTTAAACTGAATATTTTCTATTTAAGACAAATATGGATATATCAAGAGGAGGGTGAATTAAAAAAAGAAAAATGATCGATTTTTTACATTTAAAATCAATACAAAAAACAGTCCAAAAATATTGTAACAATTTTATCTCAAATTGCCAAATATGGTATAAAATTATTTTAAGAGAGTTACAGGCCGGGCTCGGTGGCTCACGCCTGTAATCCCAGCACTTTGGGAGGCCCAGGCGGGTGGATCACGAGGTCAAGAGATTGAGACCATCTTGGTCAACAAGGTGAAACCCCGTCTCTACTAAAAATACAAAAATTAGCTGGGCATGGTGGCGCGTGCCTGTAATCCCAGCTATTCAGGAGGCTGAGGCAGGAGAATTGCCCAAACCCAGGAGGCGGAGGTTGCAGTGAGCCGAGATCGCGCCATTGCACTCCAGTCTGGGTAACAAGAGCAAACTTCCGTCTCAAAAAAAAAAAAAAAAAAAAAAAAAATACAGAAGCAACTGCATCTCTAAAGCACATGCCCTATATTTATCTATCAAAGACTTCTAAGGGAGATAAATTTTATGTTTCACCTCTGCAGCCAAAGGTTTTAGTTGATGATACACATGAGATGCAGCATATAAATGTACTTTGTACATTAAAAATGTTATTTAAATTGTAATATTATATGGTCTACTAACTTCAGTGACCGTTTCCAGGTACTTCTGTCAATAGAACAGAAAATATCTGATCATTACTATGTCAAATACTATGTTTTAA